CCATTTTTGTGGGGGTGGGGTGGGTGATTTTGTAAGGGCAGCATTCTTTCTTGGGGCTGTTGATTTTGTAAAGACTCGATATGTTGGTATGGAGGTCCCAAGTGCCGCACTGTTGAGGGTGGGATCCTTGATTTTATGCAAGTTTGAGGGTGGGGTGGTTGTCCTTGTGTAGAACATGGACAGTTGATTCTGTAATCGATTGACGTGCTGTAAAGCATGGACAGTTGAATTTGTAGTGGGTTGAGCTGCTGTAGAACATGGTCTCATAACTTCTCAATAATTCGCATAATTTTTCATGATTCGCATATTTTGCTGAATGACCGACTGGCTGTGTTTCACAAGCACCCAAAATTGCATGTTGCCCAGGCCAGTAAAAGCATATCATATAAAAGCAATTTGGAAACATTTAGAAAGAACAAGAGTCATGATGTTCTGGGAAGCTCCAAAGAAAAACAAGACATCGATGTCTCGCACTGGTGCAAAACATTCTGCGAAGTTGACCAACTCTTCGAAATGGTTCCCTGCTGCATACCACCTGGCAGCAAGGCCCTCATCTTTTGGTTCACCTGTTCACCTGCGGTCCCTGATTCCATAATGCATCGAGCTTTGAGGGTAGTGATTTTGTAATCTAGGTTTTGTCTAAATATCTTGGGATCCCTGATTCTGTAGTGAAATTGCACCGCAGCATTACAAAATCGTTAGTTTTTTCCAACCCAGGTTGAATGATTGAGATTTTGTATCTTGTTTGAGACCTCAGGAAGGTTGATTTTGTAATTGCGCTGAGCCATGTCGACAAAGTGCATATGATTTTGTAATGACTGTATCTTGAAACTGGGACAGTTGATTTTGTAATATCGGCTGGAGAGTTGTCCCTTGCCTGCTTCCTGGGGGTTTGATTTTGTAAAGCTTTTCAGATGGGCGAACCTGGGGTGGTTGATTCTGTGGCACATTTTCCTTAAATAATCAACCACCCCTACATACTCCAGGAATTCGAAGAGGGATTCGTACACTGTTCATTTGGTTCCTAGATTTTTAGGGAAACCTAACATTCTTAAGCAATGGCTGAGAGTGTGGTATAGGATAGTATTGGAGTTCTCCGTCAATGAGTCCCGACAATGGCTTGTTGCATTTTGTTACACTTGTGGTTAGGCATGCAGAGAAGAGCATGCAATAGTGGAACAATGGCTGAAGCGAAACATGCGGCTCACTTGCACTACTTGTAGCAAAACGAAAACCCAAATTACGCATCCCTGTGAAAGCAACAAGCTGAGAGTTTCTGAGCTCAAAGGAATGAAACACGGCAAAACATGTTGCTGTAGCTGGAGCTCACTTCAGTAAGCACATGCAGAAGTACAGAGAGCAAGAGACCAAGCGGAGTTTCGGACACCTGTGCTAACCCGGGACACTCCAAAGAGGTGCAGGCCTAGACCCTTGAACATGAACCAAGGAATCAGCTCTCAAGATTGGAGGCCGAGTCCAAGCAGCAAAAGGATCCTCATGCTCCGCCAGAGCTGATCAGGAGTCGGTTAATCAGCATGTAGGGCATACGGCATATGTTTCAGAAATTCGAGGAAGCTGAAGGGTTCTGCTGGATGTAGGATTGAAACACCGAGATATTGTGTAGTATGGGACATCTAGATGGATGTAGCAACAATGTTGCATCGTAAGTAGTCAGCAAAAACAACACAAAAATTCGTCAAACTGGAAAACCTCTGGAAGACCGACAGTCCTTGATTTTTGGATGTCACAAAGGCCTTCTCAAGTTCCAAAGATTAATAAATAGGCAGCAGCAGCTAACCACTGGAAAAGTGCTTGGTCGGGAGGAATAGCATGGCAAGATATCGGAAGGCCAGCAAAGATGACTTGAGAGCACCTTGTCTAGAGTGCAGTTGATTGATGCTGAAGTTTAGGAGATACAGACAAGTATGCTGCTGCTTGTACTGTATATATATATACATTGTCAATATGCTGTACTAGCCGTAGCCAAGCTTTGGAATTAGTGCATATAGAGTTGAACAATAGCAATTTGATGTCTAGGCAAAGTATGGTGCAGCGCAGCGCGCCTCCAAAAAAGAGCAGTGTATGCTTGGCAAGCTCACCAAAGAATACACAGGATGACAAAGTGCCGTGCACAACCAGCACTTTCCCTCGTGGGTCCGAAGGGTATCAAAAGAGTTGCAAGGGTTGGCGCCAATGGCCAAGCCGCCATGCAGAAGAACTTGGCGTTTCTAAGCCAAGCTCCAACCTAATAGCAATGACCTCCAACCTAATAGCGATGGCCTCCAAAATTGCTACAATTGCTTTTGTCTCAGGGAATTTATTTCGTAAACGAGTTACTTTTTGAGGCAGAATGTGCCACTGGCTCTGCTCTCGTTGACTCTTGGCTCTTTTGGTGTGGCTCAAGAGGCCTTGGCTTCCGCTGAGGTGCTAAGCATGCTGATGGTGTTGAGCCATTTTGACGAGGGAGAGACAAACCTCACACGGCACCCCCAACTGTTGGACCTGGTCCGGCAAAATCGTTGGCTTGAGGAGCTTTCTGGGACATTTCTGTCATGCTTTGATGGTGGGACATTTGGGAGTATTGCAAGGCAAGGAGTTTGCTGATGGCGCACCTTTCAGGCATGCAGTGCCTAGCATCCACAAGACCATTCATTGCCTACACATACATAATACATCATAATACATACTATCACAAGATATATGGCCATATAATGTAAAGTCGTGATTAATAAACCTCCCCTAGTTAATCCGAGCCCACAAAGCTCCCGGATGTTGCCCAAATTAAAAGTAGTATTGGTTACATTGGTTGCTTATTTTCCCCCCTCATTGTCTAGTTGGGTGCCAGAACCCCCCCAGTTAATCCGAGCCCACAACCAGGTAAAATTTTCTTATTACTACTGCTGCTGCTGCTGCTGCAACTATTACTACTACAGCTACCGCTACTGCTACTGCTACTGCTACTCCTAGTACTACTACCACTACTCCTACTGCTACTCCTACTGCTATTGCTACTGCTCCTGCTGCTGCTGCTGTGCTGCTGCTACTGCTACTGCTACTTCTACTGCTACTGCTACCACTACCTATTACTTATTACGTACTACCTACTACCTACTACTGACTTTCTGATAAACCCCAAAACATGTCCAGGGTTCAAGGCCTATAAATTGTTTGTTTAAAAGTAATTAAACGCAATCGTTTGAGAAACTCACAAAGGGTACCCCTCACACGGGCCAGTCCCCCCTCAATAATTTGCACTACTACTCCCTATTGACTTGATCCTGTGTCATTGGGTCCTACTACTACTCCTCCTCCTACTGCAGCTACAGCTATACTACTACTGCTACTACTACAACAACAACAACTACTACTACTACTACTTGCTTCTTAGCCGATTAGCAAATTATTCAGGGGAGGTGGACCTCATGAGTGGTATCTCACATTTCTAGACCTTGTTGACCTACCATGTGGGGGGAGGGGGGTTATGTATTAATCATGTATTTACTGTATTTACTACATTATAGCATTCCTTTGCGTTGCATTCGATGGAGCAGCGCACCCGCACCTGGGGTGAAAAACACTTGGCCGACTTTGAGGCAAGGAACAACAAATTGGGGGAAATGGCCTCCAACCTAATACCGATGGCCTCCAACCTAGAAGCGATGCCCTCTAACCTAATAGAACCTGTATACATTTCGGGGATATCCAACCAGATGTCCACAGAGATAAGTGCACCCACTATAGAGCAGAGAGGTCTCCACTAAAGAGGTTTACAGTACAGAGGTAGATGAGCCCGATGCAAAGCATTTTTTGTTTTGCATTGCTCAATGTTTTTCAGGAGGATCCTGGCACACTGGAATTGATTTGCCGCATTCACAACCTCCACATGAAGAATGCCGAGGAGAATGAACGTCACTGCCGCTGTTACATTTCATTTGGTTCTTATTTCCTGCCTACTTCGAAGAAATTACCCTAGGGCTCAAGTTAGTGTGTCGCCTACTGTATATGATGGCAATACCACTCACCTGGTTTGATACTCGACAGCCTCGTTTTCTGCAACAGTATCTGTGGTGTTTAGCCACGACTTCCGTAAGTCCCCCCAACTTTGACCAATTTAAACTTAATTCTAATAGCTTTTTGTTACTACTAGTAAGGCACTTGTTACTACTAGCGTGGCACTTGTTACTAAAGACAATTTCCGGGCCTCCGAGTTCTTCATTCAGTTCCTTTGTTGCTGTACTGCGAGTACAGCTTCAGTTCCTTTGTTACTACTAGTAACAAGTGCATCGTAAGGTGCCTTACTAGTAGTAACAAGCTACTAGTAGTAAGGCACCTTGCTAGTTACTGCCAGGACTCCAGCAGGCCACCTGTTGCTCCAGGTCAAGAGAAGTTGGAGAACAGGCCCGTCACAGCACAAGGCTTTCCTTCTGCTGGGACATGCTTTGTTTGTCAAAGATGTCAAAAACGTTTTAGTTGCAATTATATTCTGCGGTGGGCTTAGTGTCTTCGACATTGTGAATGCCCAAAACTCCATCAGCAATGTTGGGCAATTCAAACAAGTTCGAGCTTTCTCGACTTCTCCTGTGCAAGTAGAGTATTCCCATCAGACCCATCATGTTCATCCAGGTTCCGACATATGTGCTTGAGCGCTGCAAATACAATAGCTGCTGCCAGAAAATCTGGTTGCCGGGGATCCCAGTTTAAGGGTTTCCAGACGACATTGCTAAAGGGCAAATGGTTCAATCGATCCTACTATATACTTCTCGTTCATGTTGATGAATAGAGTTAGAGTTGTTTTGACATCGATAATCACGGCAAAATGCGCAGCACAGAAAGAACACAAGTTGCACAAGGTCAAATAACTACATTGTTTCGTTCGTTTTGATCCGCAGCCCAGAGCTCCCTTTGTAGTAGGTCAGAAGGCACTTGGCACTACAAAATTGACAAGATTTGACAAGGCAAAAGCAGACCCACCATATCGTTCAGAACGAGATTCTCCTGCATCGAGTCTTAAAGATTCTCCTGCAACTCCACAAACAAGCCATGAGACGGGAGTTGCCACTTGTGTTTGCAGCCAGTCGCAATCTTAGAGCAAGGACACACAGCTTCTATGGCTATTTGTTGCTATTTGTAGCGTTCTGCAACGGACAAATAGTTCTTCTCCGATTTCCTCTATTGTGATTTCTCAGAGATACGAATTTGTCACGATGGTTTGAGGCTTTCATTGTTTAGACTTTAGTGAGTCCAAGTTGATAGTCTAGCTCGGTAAAGGGCAAGCACTTGCTGTTTTGGTATCGAAGCCTTGGAGCTCATGAAAAAGCTTTGATTGAACGTTTGATAGGTCCAGACACTTCATTGGCCTCTTGTCGATAGTGCTTGATCTGTGTTGCAAGATAGCATTGTTGACATTGCTTAGTATAGATATATTTATATTATATATATATGTAAGAGCATTCATACAACATATTTAGTTACAGTACAGACTACAACGGCAGTGGCAAGTTGGCAAATTGCCGCATGTTTCAACAAATAAACATGGCATCACCAGCTCAGGACAGGGTTTGGTTCTGATACTAGAATGAGGCAGACAATTGTAATCAGAGTGAGAGAACTTGGAAGGGAAAAGTGTGAGGTGCCTTGCTGGTTCACTATTTGCTATGCCCAAAGTTCCAAATGACCCTCCAGGCCGGCATGACCCTGTATGCTTGTGGACCAGTGTGGCGCCATCATAGAGTCTCTAGAGTCACTAGTCTTGTACTGCCTCTACAGGAACTGTTGCTGCAGAAAGCAAGAAACTTTGTCCTAGCCTTTGGGAGAGCGCATTCGGCAAGAGGAATCTTGCCAGGTTGACACTGTGCCTCAAGCAATCGGACATGGTTTCTTGATATTATATATATATTTCTAATTCATATGTCACGAATATATGTTTCTCGGGTTTCTGGAGTCTTTCCTTCAAGCAGTCGACCAGTGTAATAAAGCATTACTGTGCGGAATCGAAGCCTGGCCTTCAGGAACGACCAGGCCTCGATGCCTTCCCCGGCGCTGTGTCCTGGTTGGTTTATCCCTGGGAGCCCCGTTTCGCTCCTTGGCGATCACTGAAGCACTTTTAAAGAAAGTCAAAAGAATAGTAGAGGAAAACAACACAAAAACCTTGATCATCAGACAAGGGAAAGAAGGTAAGGTCCTCTTTAATGAGGGCTCCTTTAAAGGACCCTTAATTTGCTTTACTCTCACGCCGAACGATCCAGGTCCTCGGCATCCCCTGAGCTTCCGCGTCAGGGGTCCGATTTGGCCAACTGAAGGGAGATGATCATCCGATCAGATCAAAAGCAATGAGCCATGAATTAGGGGTGTCCTTTGCCCCTCAACAAAATGCTTCACACAGGCTCTGCAAAACATTGTTTGAACGCCAAGCATCAGCGCCAACAAAAGCTCCTTTGGGGTACGACTTGCCATTTGTTCTTGACTGAACTCAAGAAGGAGCAGAGCAACGGCCAGGTTCATGAGCTTACAGACAGCAAAGCCATCCCTCCAATTCTTGGCATAAGCATGAGGGGTGGCTATAGCTCCTTTGGGGAGATCGAAGTGAAAGCCCCGAAAGTAAGCAGCCACTGCGAGTTCAAAAGCAGAACAAGCTTTGCCTGCACCAATGCTCCAATGTAAGGAGCTGCAGTACTGCAAAAACTTCCTAAAGTTTTGAACAGACAGAGATCGTTTCGTTTTCAGCGGAACATCCAAAGACACCTTGCTTATCGTGCAATATCGGCATCCCATGGCCACATTGGGCACAGTTGTCTTGGCACGTCCAGAAATTGGTTCAGGCACAGGCGCACTGACTTCAGGTGGCTTACAGGCACGATTTTCTCACCATGTGTCCATGCAGGGTCAATGGACATTGTGTCAACCAGCTGTTGTGCAACGGTCAGAGAGTTTGTGTGGATAATGAGCGGTTTCGCGTTCCACCCAAAAGTGACCAAAACCGCCAATAGCTCTGCTGCAAAGCTAGAGAGGCGCCAGTGGTAAACCGGACCAACCCGGCAAACCGCGTGATCTTCATGAACGCCAGCAAAGCTGGCAATTGAGCGCCAAGGCTCTGTGGATAAGTAAGCTGATCCGTCATGTGCTAGGACCTAGGAGAGTTGAACGCAGGAAACTTCTTAGCCAGGAGGAGCTTAGAAAATATGCAGGCAACAGAAGGACAAAATTGGGGACATAGAGTAGTGTTGCAGGCAGCTAAGCTATGGATGGAGCAACCCAATCGGAAGGACCATTGAACAAGACGATCAAGATAGGAAACAGGAAAATATCAATCAGAGGACAATAGTCAAATGTGTGGTCGACTTCAAGCAAAACTCAAGCAACTGCATGACTGCATGAAAGACATTGGAATTTCATGAGTAGAGGATTGCAAGAGGCAGCAGGCTCGGCAGGAAATGAAATGGATAAATACCTAGAGTTACTAGAATGTGCTGTCATGAGAAGAGATTTTCCAGATAGACCACAAACAGAGATACCACCCATTTGTGGGAACCCCGTTCCTTAAAAAGCCTGCAGAAAAAACAAGAATCGAATGGAAAAACCTAGACTACAATGGTAGAGTGAGCGCGAAGGAGCAAATTAAGTCGCTCACACTACCAAGAAGGTGCGTGTAGCTTGTTTGCTGTAGATCAGCATCATTGTACATAGCATTACCAACATCACAAATGATTGATGCAACTGCCCCGCCGCCTTCTTTTGGCTAGTAGCAAGTTCGCAATTATATACCAAGGCTGTGGTAGGTTCCAATTAGCTTGGGGAAAGGTCCTTGAGCGACCGGCTTTAACATTTCTCAGTGACGCTCCACGGAAAATCAAACACTCCGCAGACGATCAAAAGCCTGGAACTGTGAAGGCTGTGCTGCTAAGCGATCAATAATTACACACTGGCCCTCTACAAGAGAGCTTCCAGCTAAGACTGCAAGTATAAGGGTTAGTGTAGTAGCGCCGGGTAGTGAATGGAAAAGGGAGGGCGCCTTCTTTGTCGTTTGGCATTAGGTTGACCCTCAGCCACCCATGAAACATTTCACTACCACCAACTCAATACCAATCAATCCATTTATGTCAAGACAGGCCTTGGGCACCTCTCACTTGTTCCTGCTGTCGGTTCTCTTTCACCACGCAAGCAAGTCAGTGTGCAAATGCTCTGTTGAGAGCGTCTCGGCCCTTTCCGTAACTCATCAATTTGAACTGACTTCGGACCATCCATGTAAACTTGAACTGTTAGGTGCTGAGGTACTGTATGACTGGATGATACTGTGGTACGTATTGCAAATCACAGCCGTGCTTGGCCAGTTTCATTTAAGATCCTGATCGATAAGCGTGGACAATCATAGGACACTGGATGATGAGCAAGTTTGTGCTGCCTACAAAAACTGTTAGGAACCAAAACTTATTGTAAGGGCTTCGCCCGGGTGCCGCCGACCCCCTTTCAGGAGGAGTGTAGCACGTGTAACTAAAGGCGTTTGTGTAGTGCCGGTGGCGGCCCGTCTGTAGAGAGAAGCTGGGCGCTGTAGCCTTAGGAGGCTGCAGCGAGGGAGCGCAAGTACTATGCACGGTCGTGGTGGGCGGGGGTGCTGCAGGGGCAATGGTTTTGACATGATATGATGAATTTGGACTTGGGGGATTCCAATGGCCATCTGGCCAACAAAGGACAACGCACGCGGATCGGCGACCGTGTGTGGGGGCCTTGCCTGGCAGCTCAGAGCTGACCAGGTGAGGCTTGCGGTGATGCAGCCCAGG